TAAACAAGACTATAAGCTATTATGAGCAAAAATATAGATCTAAAAATTACTGTAAACATCAATACATATCCATAAATTAATACTAGCCCCTTGGCACATGCACAATTGGTTTTATTTTTAGAATTAAGAAAAGATAACATGGGTAGTTATGCTCCATAAAAGTAGGACCTATTATCTGATTTTATTTTTAATTTTAATTTTTAATATGAAAAAAAAGTGAATTTATCATATTATCCTCATTTAATTAATAATTTCAATTCTTAATGTTTGAATTAACCAAGGGCATTTTCTGGTATTTTGAATATTTCACCATTCTCTTCCTTTTGTTATATATATATATAGATAAACAACAATACAGATCTATAAGTTACTGAAAGAAAATAGAGCAAGGAAATCGGATCTTAAATGGACAGACCCTAAATCACTACCTTTTCAAAAAATAATTCAAAGACAGAAAACCTTCTTAATCAAGCACTTTGATGCCTTTTCGTCCATACACGTCGAAGACGACAACTACGTCGTCACCAGTGTCGAAGGGTTGGTGTACATCGGGGCAACAGATGGGGCGGTCAAAGTGTGGAAGAGAAAGTAGACGCTAGGGCTAGGCATCTAAAGTCGAAATATCGAAACCGTACACTAACCATACCGTACCAAACCAATTTCATACCATTTCGTTTGGGATGAGGCAGCATTCGATACGATATTGTACGGTATCAATGGAGTATGGTACAGTAGCAGTACCAAGTATTTGGTACCGGTCAGTACCTTACCATACTGAATACCAAAAGTTTTATAATTTTTTTCATTCTCTCGCCTCAAATGTGAAACCTTATTTATTTAACTACTTCTAGAAGACCTTGTAGTCTAACATGTTCGTACTTTCTTAAAGGATAAATAAGATTTTCACATTTGAATCAAATGGAAATTATTTGTTTATATTCTGTTAACTACTTCTCTCTCATGTAGCAGTGAAATTGAACAACAACAAAGTTGCTCCTGGAAAATCTATAACTTCTAAAAGTTCTGTTCAGTAAGCCAGAAGAAATGTGGTGAGAGCTTGAAGCTTAAGTAATAGTCTTTGTAAATTAACTACTAATAATACGTGTGACTATAGACATTTCCTTTGTACTGCATCAACAATCTAGTATTAATAAAGATGCATGCACTTCCTATTGGAAGATAATATCGTTTAGGATACTTGATTGATTCTCCTTGATCATAGGGACAGATTTGATCCGTGTAAATCAACTTAATTATGTTCTATTTCCTTCCTAGAATAGGCTACCTTGTATTATATAAGTCTTGTGTCCTATTGTAAATATACATAATGAAAATATCCTGAAGTTTCTTCCAAGACTTCATATTCCTAGAACCCTAGCCGAATCACTTTTCAACATGGTATCAGAGCACCGTTTCTGGTGACTCCGAATACCCACACAGCTTCCGCAATTCCAACAAACACAATATCACCATGGTCGATCCAGAACCCACTGGGACGTCCACCCACACCCAAAACCTAAAGTTTACAGAGACATTCACAGATGTCTCAAACCCTTTTACTCTATATTCCTCAGATCAACCTGGGAATATTCTAGTCTCCAAAACACTTCAAGGAGACAACTATAGTACCTGGAGTCGTGCTATGCGAGTCAGCTTGAGCGCGAAGAATAAACTTGGCATGGTTGATGGCACCATCGACCCTCCACCAGAGACTGACAAACAATTTGCATCATGGCAAAGATGCAATGATATGGTCCTTGCCTGGATTCTCAATTCGGTCCACGAAGACATTGCAAGCAGCGTTTCTTATTACACGACAGCAGCCGAGGTTTGGGCCGACTTGCGAGATCGTTTCTCACAAGGAAACGACTCACGTATTTATCAAATCAAGAGAGAGATCGTTGAACACAGACAGGAACAGCAATCAGTCTCGATCTACTACACGAAACTAAAAGCTTTGTGGGATGAACTGGCATCCTACAATGACATCCCGACTTGCACCTGTGGGGGATTGAAAAAGGTGAGTGATCGGGATGAGAAAGAAAGGGTGATGCAGTTCCTGATGGGTTTGAACGACTCTTATGCAGCAGTACGTGGCCAGATACTATTGATGCAGCCACTACCAGACACTCGGAAGGCATACTCCCTTGTTCACCAACAAGAGAAACAAGTAGAGGTATCTCTGAATGGTAACAATATAAATTTACATGCCATGAATGTAACTCATAACAGGGAAGCTGCTGCACCGAAAGGAAACACCCTACAATGTTCATATTGTGATCAAAAATACCACACCGTGGATCGATGCTTTTATCTGATTGGTTTCCCGCCTGGCCATAAGTATCATGGCAAGTCAGCCAAGCCACCAAACAAAAGAAAACCTGCGGCAAACCAAGTGCAAGTGGAAACCGAGACCACCAAGGGCGCTGACTCACGACACAAGGCAACGTCCAGTGACGGTCCGAAGTTCACCACTGAAGAATATAATCAACTCATGGCAATGCTCAAGAAGAGCAGCCTCGATGGTAATCCTCAACATTTTGTGAATGCAACAGGTACAATCACACCTTCCTCTAACTTGTCAGAAGTCTTCCCAAAGAAAACCTTATATTGGATCATTGATAGTGGGGCAACGGACCACATCTCTTCCTCTCCTCACTTACTAGACAAGAAATCATTATCCATGCTAGATTCTGTTCAATTGCCGAATGGAGGACAGGTTTTAATAAACTCGATCGGTTCTATACAAGTTACCCCTCACATTAAACTTGATGGAGTGCTCCATGTGCCTAACTTTCGAGTTTGCTTATTATCTGTTAGCAAACTTACTGCAGCATTACGATGCATAGTGATTTTCTTCCCTGGTTTTTGTGTAATACAGGACATGGATACGAGGAGGACGATTGGCCTGGGCAAGCGATATAATGGGCTCTACTACTTGGCGCCAGAACAAAACCCTCGCCTTGCTCATCACATTAGCCGCAACTCCATCCTCTGGCACCAACGGTTAGGGCACCCTTTCGCCGAGCCTCTGCAAACCTTAACCAAACAAGTTCCAACAATAATGTCTGAATCTAGTCATTCATGTGACATTTGCCCCCTTGCTAAACAAACCCGTTTATCTTTTCCATCAAGTTCTATTTCTTCTAAAGCACATTTTGATTTAATACATTGTGATATTTGGGGCCCTCATCGAGTCAATTCCCATTCGGGGGCTCGATATTTTTTAACAATTGTTGATGATTATTCTCGCTATACTTGGATCCATCTTATGCGTTTTAAGTCTGAAACACAAGGGTTGTTATGTTCTTTCATTGCTTGGGTACACACACAATTTAATTGCATGATCAAAGCACTTAGGGCTGATAATGGTGGTGAATTCACCTCTTTGCGTTCTTTTTTTGATAGCAAGGGTATCATGTTTCAGACTTCTTGTCCGTCCACACCCCAACAAAATGGGGTTGTTGAACGAAAACATCGTCATCTCCTAAATGTTGGTCGAGCACTTAGGTTTCAAGCCAATTTACCACTACATTTTTGGGGGGAAAGCATACAAACAGCGTGTTATTTAATTAATCGTCTACCTACCCCTCTCCTTGCTCACAAAACCCCTTATGAAATTTTGCATCGTCAACTTCCCAATTTTTCTCACTTACGGGTTTTCGGTTGTTTATGTTATGCTACCAACCTCCATCCTCACCATAAATTTGACCAACGTGCCCAAAAATGTATTTTTGTTGGATACCCATTAGGCCAGAAAGGTTATCGCGTTTATGACCTCACCACACACAAAATTTTTTCCACTCGTGACGTGGTATTTCATGAAACCATGTTTCCTTTTCTCACACAACCTCCTGATCATCAACCTGACACACTTGTCTTGCCTATCCCCACCGACTATCCCACTACACAACCTCATCCAGAAACCCATTTACCCACACCACCGCCAACACCCCATTCATCTACACCTACACCCATAGCGCCCTCTTTGCCCACACCGATAGACTCTTTGCCCACACCTCCTAACCCCCCTGCCCCTCGTCACTCTGGCCGTGCTTCCAAGCCTTCCGTAAGGCTCCAAGGCTACCATTTATATCATGTGCAATCCCTTGCTCCCAGCGCCACTTCCTCCTCCATGTCAGGTACTCGCTATCCTTTATCTCACTATGTCTCGTATGCTCATCTTTCACCATCACATCGCTCTTTTGCTTGTGCCATTTCTACTCTTGTCGAACCCACTACATTTGCACAGGCTCATAGTGATCCTCAATGGCGAGCTGCCATGGACTCTGAACTTTTGGCCCTTGAACAAAATAACACTTGGACTCTCACTACCCTTCCTCCTGGTCATCGCGCCATTGGTTGCAAATGGGTCTACAAAATCAAGTACCACTCTGACGGTACCATCGAGCGTTATAAAGCTCGCCTCGTTGCCAAAGGTTTTACACAACGCGAAGGTATCGATTACAAGGAAACCTTTGCTCCTGTTGCTAAACTCATCACAGTTCGCTGTCTGTTAGCCGTTGCCTCTGTCCGTAATTGGTCCTTACATCAAATGGATGTTCATAATGCCTTCCTTCACGGTGATCTTAGTGAGGAAGTTTATATGCAGCTGCCTCCTGGGCTTCGTCCGCAGGGGGAGCATAATGTATGCCGACTCAACAAGTCCCTCTATGGCCTCAAGCAAGCCTCTCGCAGCTGGTTTCATAAATTTTCCACTGCCATAAACCAAGCCGGCTACCAGCAGTCAATGGCCGACTACTCCCTATTCACTAAGGTGCGTGGAAAATCATTTACTGCAGTTTTGATTTATGTCGACGACATGATTATAACAGGCAATGATGAGGCTGCCATCCATGATCTCAAACAATTCCTTCAGTCCCACTTTCGACTTAAGGATCTTGGACACTTAAAGTATTTCCTTGGTGTGGAGGTGGCTCGGTCTTCTCAAGGAATCTCCATTTCCCAACGTAAGTACACACTTGACATTCTTGATGAAGCCGGCTTACTCGGTGCAAAGCCTGCAACGTTTCCCATGGAAGAACACTTGAGATTATCTCCCACGGAAGGGCAACTTCTCCACAATGCCTCGAAATACAGGAGGCTTGTTGGGAAACTCATTTATCTCACGATCACTAGGCCGGAGATTTCATACTCGGTTCATATACTCAGCCAATTCATGCAACAACCAAGAAAGCCTCATCTTGACGCAGTTCACCGCCTTCTACGATACTTAAAGGGGTCACCTGGACAAGGGCTTCTTTTTCCTTCAAATGGGAGTTTAATGTTGCAAGGATATTGCGACGCCGACTGGGCTCGATGTCCGCTTACGAGAAAATCTGTCACAGGCTATTGTATATTCCTTGGGGGTGCTCTAGTATCTTGGAAAACCAAGAAACAATCCACTGTTTCGCGATCTTCAGCTGAAGCCGAGTATCGTGCCATGGCCTCTGCTACATGTGAGCTTGTGTGGATGAAGTTCTTATTGGCTGACCTGCACATTGATCACAATAATCCGGCAAAGCTACACTGCGACAACCAAGCTGCACTTCACATAGCTGCCAATCCAGTCTTTCACGAACGCACCAAACACATAGAGATCGACTGTCATGTTGTTCGTGAACGCATACGCTCTGGGGTTATTTCGACAGCTTATGTACCTACTGGACAGCAGCTTGCCGATATATTCACCAAGCCACTTGGACAATCAGCATTCCGTTCTCTACTTGGCAAGATGGGTGTTCTTGACATTCACACTCCACCTTGAGGGGGAGTATTGGAAGATAATATCGTTTAGGATACTTGATTGATTCTCCTTGATCATAGGGACAGATTTGATCCGTGTAAATCAACTTAATTATGTTCTATTTCCTTCCTAGAATAGGCTACCTTGTATTATATAAGTCTTGTGTCCTATTGTAAATATACATAATGAAAATATCCTGAAGTTTCTTCCAAGACTTCATATTCCTAGAACCCTAGCCGAATCACTTTTCAACACTTCCTGTGTTGTGAATTTCCATTATTTTGTAGGCCAGCTTGGTGAAGGGTTCACCAACCAAAATACCATGTCCACCGACTATTGAAGCAAATAATGGCTTCAGTCTGTGTTGATGGATACTGATTTGGTTGATTTGGATATTGAATATGTTGAATCTGTTGATGGATATTGATTTGGTTGATTTGCATTTGGTTGATTTGGATATTGAATCTGTTGAATATATTATAAGGCATCACTTATTTGGTGAATCTATATGTTGAATATTGAATTGGTTGATTTTTGAGTTGTGTAATTTTGGTACCGAAATGATATCATTTCACACCGATACCAATTTGGTACGGTACCAATTTTGGCAAACGATAATCCCATATCGTATCATACCGGTTCTAATTTCTGGTATCGATAGCTGTACGAGTTCAATACCGTACCATATCATACCATGCCGAGCCCTAGCAGACGCTGCTAAAGGGGCGCGATGACAGTGCTCGCCGTCGACGTCTCGGGCTCGATTATGTACTGCAGGTCCTCTGACGATATGAGTGATGGGGGTGTAGGTAGGTTTGGGTGGTTATGGATTTAGCCAAAAAAGTTGAAGACTTGAAAAAGAAGAAGAAGCAGCAGCTAACGTTGTTCTTCTTCTTGTTGGTTATGTTTTGGAAATTGGAAGGAAAAGGCATAGATGAGCAGAAAGGGGTTGGGGAAGTCGCTTAGGCTGGTGTTGCTGGGAAAGTTGGATCCGGGTAGGTTTTTTATTATTTTTAAACAATTAATAAAATTTTTATTATTTGTTTTGTCCACTAGGAATCCATGTCATTAAAAAATGAAGTCCATATTAGCCACATCATCATTTAACAGATTCACTAACGGTTTGACTAACAGAGGAGTCAATTTATAGAGTTTCCTGGAGTTTGATTATGTACTCGTAAATGTCTCTAAAATTGAGTATGAACTTGAAAATGACCCTATAATTTGAGGGATTTTATGTAATTTGTCCTAAAATTTATGTATGCATGCCAAACTGTGATTGGTGTGAATATATTATGAGTTCCTACATTCAGAGGAAGGAGAAAAATATTTACAAATTTATAAATAAACCCAATCCTAGACATGTATTTATAAAAAAACTCAAACACTATTTGAACATAGAAACACACCCAAAATCAACCACAAAATCAACAATTGTATATTTTTTGGGTGTGTTTATAAATGGGTTTTGAGTGTGTGTAATGATGGGTTTT